GTATGTATATATAAATATAAATTATATATATACACATACATATATATGTATATATGTATATATTGTTACAACAAAAGTATACTTTTCCCATGTCATGTATAAATTTATTTTTTTTATTAATTTGCTCATATAACTTACGTAACTTATGTTAGAGCATATATATATATATATATATTCGATATGAAAGGATCATATTTTCTTTTTCATGGAATCTTTGTAATATCATTATTTACATTCTTATTTGAAATTTTCCAGCCTTAGTGATGTATTTGACACCTTTAAATGGTTTATACTTTTCACCGTACATGTCTAATCGGTTTACCTTTAATCCGGATACCGCTAACTGATTAATCGTAAAGTGTACCTGCAATTGAGATATTAAATTGTTAATTTTAAAGGGCAAAAATTTTGTAACTTTTGACGTCATCGTACGTACATTAATTGCAGGATTTGACTCAGAAGCAGTTGTCGAATTTTGTATTGTAATCTGAAATACATAATTTTCTCACATAGCAGATTATTGTATTTACTTCTAGATATATTGTAATAATTATTTTACCGATCCTCTGAGATTCGGTAGCTTGGAAACATCAATTCTTCCAATATCCCACAACAACACTTTACTGACAGGATCAAATGAATATTTTCCTTGGTTCGGAGTTAAAGTACAATTCAGGACTATCTTTGGCATGGGGATTTCAAGAGTCACATTTTCAACCTACAATAGCAAACGCTAATGCTAATAATAATAATAATTAAGATCATATAATAATAGCAATAGCAATGCAACAATTCTCATACATCAAAAAAGAATGCTTACAGTCCTGCCTATAGTTTGTTTTGGTCCAACAGTTATATCCAATCTGCCACCTCCTGGTTCTTTCAGGCTAATATTATGTCTTATATATATTGGAATTGCTACGATACTTTGTGATCCTATATGATACGAAAGAAGGCGGAAGTTACCATCCGGAGGGATGAAAGAAAGTATTCTTTCAGACTGAAATCAAGAATGCAAGCTTAAAAATTTACTTTTCATAGAAATTAGATAATATATATATCAAATTTCTTGTACAAACCTCCCATCTCTTAAATCTAACACAAGGATGAAAGCTAACGTCGTCGAACAATCTTGGATTCATAAATGAAAGCGTGAGATCTGGCATGCCACTTAATTTTATGCAACAGTCGATCTTAAAAAAATAATTACATATAATTAATGTATGTGAAGTATTTGTATATGAAAAATATTTACAATGTAAACATACATAGCCTTGAATTTCTGCAAATACAGTTGCTCCAGTTCGATCAATAATAGCATCTACTTCCTCAACAACGTCGAAGTAAGCCTCATTATTGGTATATTTCACTCCAGTTCGTCTCCAAGGGACATTAGACAGTTGGCCACTTGGTAAAATTGCACTAACACTATGCAATTATAAAATATATAAATTTAATAATCCTATATACTATATATAGTTATATAAATGTTTTACCACATCAAGAACACTTACTTGGACTTGCCTGTAACAGTATTTGCTATGGTACGCAAGATGTTGGGTGGCTTGATCAATTCTTTCAATATATTGGATTCTGTTGCCAAAGGAAAACCATTGTCCAACATTTCATCCAACAATTCATATACAACCACATAATTCTCTTTTATTATTGTTTCTGTGCACTCATTAAAGTAATCTTCAAAGGTATCTACTACCCTATGCAAGAATTCAATGACAAACAATGGAGGAACTGAAATGAAGAAGAAGTACTTATTATACTATTTGTCAATCAGTGCAGATTACAAAACAAATTATGTTGTTTATATCAAGATTAAGAATCATAGAAAGAGTAGGGCATATTAGATGGCAGCAGGATGTCGTACGTTTGCAACCTGTGTATCTTTTCGTTTCAGAGAGAGAAAAATATCGAAAGCACAGTTTGCTAGCTAGGCCAGGACTCGAACCCGGGTCTTTCGCTTGCCGGGCAAGTGCTCTAAAACCACTGAGTTACCTGACGCTCCACGCTCACGACACTTTCCTCTCTCTAAATAATGCTCAGAGATTAAGTTTACCTTCTGTCATACATACTGCCACGAAGAACATATTGCAACGATATATACTAATAAGATAATGATGAGGTGTTGCTATCACTGGTGGCGTGTCTTCTGGTGATAGGACTCTTCGTTGTTGGTCAAAAAAATAATCACAAAGAGACCGTGCCACCGCACTCTTCCAATGTTTTTCCATGAAAACATCTCTGTGTACATATGTATTATGATTAAAATTACAGCAAAAAAAACTATACATTAACACATATCTATGAGTATATATTGTGAGATGTTTTAAAATGTCAAGAAAATACAAAACATTTATTGTACATAGCAAATGCTACTCTACGTTATGTCAAACAGTTGCCACAAATGTCAATTTCTGTTTTATTTCCCATGCATTGGTACTTACCCCGAGGAATTTATAATGAAAAGGCTGTGTATCATTTTCGCGAGTATTAGGAATATCGACGAACAAAATATTAAAATACGTGTATAACTAAATCCATACGGCAACGACCAGAAAGTGCTTCTGTCAATCTTTATACATAATTATGCGCATGTATATAAACTTTCAGCCATGTTACCATCGAGTAATGTGAACTGAGCGACTATCAGAAATCAAAATCAGGGGCGGACGAATATCTCGATCGTAACAATATATGAATGGAATAAAACTGTCAGAGCAGAACTATCAATTTTTAGGTTATGGATCGGACGGCAAATCGTACGATTAAAGATTCATGTTAGCGATTTTGCAATTTAACCTTCAAATAGATCAATCCGAGTTCGGGGAAAGTCATCCCCACCGATTTCTGGCCTGTACGCACCTGCGGGACGCGACAAGGATGGCGCCACTGTCTCGGTCCGCGACCGGCGTTCCACCTGACACAGCGGAACGAGTGGAAGCAAGAACACCAGCGAGAGGCAGCAGTCGCGGTCGTCGTCGTCGGATTGTTTGTCAATATCCTCGTCGCCTATCCCTCTCGTCCGCGTTGTTTCGGGTGCACGTTACTCATCAGCACGGTCATCGACGATCTCGGCATGACGGCCACCAGCTACGGCGGCGCAACGGTGTGACATACATATACAGCACACAAACGAATACTCAGCGATCCCCGGGCAGTGTTCCGTGAGATTTTTCCTGCCTGTCGTCGCTGACGATGGAATGCGCGAACGAGCATCTACGAGCCTAGTAAAGGACGACGTGACTTCGTAGTGTGTGTGTGTGTGTGCAGCACACATAGACGACCAGTGGTAGCAGGAAAAAAACGGTTTGTGTATGTATCTTCAATTGCACTTTCTACACTTTCCCCCGTTGCTCCGAGTTTACTCGTTCGAACACGCGGAATACATGTCTGTTTCACTGTGAATGCAGAAGGTGCAGCCGAGGCGAACGGGCTTGCATGCATATAACGCGAGTGTATGCGTGCAATGCTGTTGGCGTGCATGTAAGAAGGTCCATCTGTTTCGCCGTTGAGAGGATGCGTCCTGTGATTATATCGCTGACTAGACTCGAGATTTCAACGTAAATTAAGAATTGCCATGGATTGTCAATAAGAAGAAAAAAAACCTTTTCTCCGGTTGAATAAATCTGTGGGATATTTTTCCTGAAAGAAGTACACCGTGGTTAGTGTACAGAAGGCAGCTCCAGTAGCTTACTGTAGAGCTTCAGTGAGTGACACGTGTGAGTGATAAGTTATCAGGCTGGGGGTAGATTGCTAACAGTCAATTCTATATTGATAAATAATGAGACAACATTATATTAATTGTTCAAGTTTGAGAGCAATGTGGTGAAGTTAACCATCAACGGTAGCTTTATTTAATGATAGCTACTATTGAAATTTATATATATTTAGAGAGCTTTGGATGTGAATACTATCTTAGAAAACAGAAATGCTTCTTGGAAAATGCTAAAAATATTCAATTTATATACATGTAATTTTTATAAATAACAGTTCTTAATTGTATCTTAATTAATTCAAAGTGTATCTTGTCAACACAATTTCTTTAAATTAAGAATGATAATCTGGAACTTTCCTTTGCAATTATCAAGTTTTTTTCTCTTTTACCTCATATCAGCTCTCTTTCTATATACTTGTGCATTCTATCAAAGTTACCTCTTAAGACCCTTGGTCCCATTGCTGCAGAATCCTGTATTAATGATATTAGAAGTGAGATAATTTGAAAATGATACAAGAATTTTTAGCATGTTTTCTCCAGGATTTTATCATTAATCCAGGATTCCACAGAAGTGATACCATAGGAACCTCAAGTTAGTTACTTCTGTACATATTAAAATTTATATTTACTACATGTATCAAGTTATATAAGTTATATTTGACAATCCTGTAGTAAAAATTAACAAAAATTAACAACTATTTTTTTTCTTCTTGCAGATTCACTGGAGGAAAATGTATAAAGACAAAATGATACAATATGCAGACATAGGTGGCCAATATGGAGCAATTGAGTATAACAGACTGATGTGTATCTCGCTTAGTTGATGCACGGGATGCTGTCTTAGACTTCTGTCTAGCACTTTAACTGCATATCCTTAGTCCCGCTCTGTCAGAGCGTATTGTCCGCATTGTCCGAAAATATTCAGTGTTCATAAAATCGCTTTTAATGAGGCCGAAAGCGCGGCCGAGAAGGCAGACTTTGTTTTGAGGAGGTATAGCGTTCTACAATCGACTTTAATGAACAATGAACCATTCGGGAAGCGGTAAACGCCAGGCGAAGGTTTTGGAAGATAATTTTTGGGACTGCAGCGTCTGCACTTATAGGAATACAGCGGAAGCATTTAAGTGCCTCATGTGTGACGTCCGCAAAGGAACCTCTACGCGGAAACCCCGCATAAACCCCCAATTGGTAGCTCAGCAGGTCAGTCAAATCATCAAGTAATGTAGAAGATATCGCCTCGTAATTATCTTGTAACACATTAGCTGATAATATGGTAATATTAATTTATACAACTTACTGTTCATATAGAGAAAATAACTAAAAATCTATCACGTACTATGTTTTGTTCTTCTGCAACACGACTGTTCTCTCTTTTTCTCTCTTTTAAATTTTATCTTGTTACTTTGTATTCGCTACTAAAATTCGAACGAAGTCGTTCCGAGCTTACATAATCAAACATTGTACATCGCGCGTTTAGGTTGCGCAGCAACAATATGTGCCACTTTTGAAACCAGGCAAGAAGGAAGGTAGCAGCGGCGGCAGCACAACCAGCGGCGGCAAAGAAAAGGAGCGCAAACTGGACAAACCAAGGCGCAAGAACAGACACCCGCCGCGTCTCAAAAATATCGACCGTAGTACTGCGCAGTCGAACGAAGTGACAGTAAACAATGTTACCGTTGTTATCACGGAGTACAAGCCCAAAGTGAAGAAGGGCTCGGACCAGTCGGGCGTGTCCAGCAGCGCTAGCTCCGAGAACGGGAGCCAACACGACTCCAATCAGGATTCGAGAAGTCTGGACATCGGCACCGACGCCTAGCTTAATGCTATATATATGTTACATATGTGTACGAATTATTCTAATTAATATATTGTATAATGTATGTCTCAAACCTCTTCATGGTACCGCTGTACACATCCTATAGACAAAGGAAAAGAAGAAACGACTGTTTTGTCTAATATGCATTGCAGATTGCATTACATACGTATATATATATATATATATATATATATATATATATATATATATATA